CAAAGGATCTTTTCAGATCAAGGAATACCACCAATTCATCTGCATTATCCTATTTTCATCTGATTGACTTTTTGACATCAAACTTTGAAAAATAAGGTCTTAGGCCAAGAACACTGTGGAAGAAAGTAATTCTTTGCCCCTTATAGATGGTTTCCCTGAGACAGAATTGTGTAGGGGTTCAGAACAGAAGGCTGGTCTTACTGGAAGGCTTGTGGGTTTTAGCAGGGAAAGGCTTTCACTATCTTGCACTTCTTGCTCAGAAGACAGCACTCCATTTAAAATATAAAAGGCTAACAACAGGTAATGTTATTTAAAGTGTTTCCACAATGAGGTCATACAGAAGAGAACTTATTCATCTCTTAAAAATGCATACATATCTAGCACAAAATTATTAGAAAAAGATATTTAAATTAATGAAAGTAATTCCACTTGACATTTGGGATAACAATTACCATACTTTCCAATTATCATTATTGCTTGTTTTCTTTCCCAGAGAATTCAAAGTGCTGGACTTATTTCCTCAACCCCAAGCCCTGTAGTATGATTTGACATCAAGCTCTTTTTCAGCCTAGACTTACATACTTTGTTTATTTTGAGAATGGAACCTTTGAAAAACAAGCTAGTTTGAAGGAAAAATGTGCAATTTTGGTTTAAAGTGTAATTTTTCTTCTTGTGTTTATCAATTTTTTAAAATCTCTCTACCAATTGAGTGCTTTATGGCAAGGAACTTTTCAGAGCTGTATTTACGTACACTGAATAGGAATAATTTGGACGAGAAATATTTCAATACTCCACAAATACTTCTGAGAGAATCTTGTTTCTCCTCCTACTGATATATATTAATTCCAGAATATGAATGTGTAAAACAACCAAATTGCAGAACATGGAACATTGAAAGTAGAGATGGCTAAACTAAGTGACATTCTTTACACAACCTACCAGTCAGTCAGTACTATTTACTGAAGTCCTTTTTCACTCCCCAGCTACAATCTCTCACTCATCTCTTCTCTTACAGAAGAACTAAGAGGTTTTTTATTTATGTAGCATAAAATGTAACGTTTTGGCTTAGAAAAATAAAAAATATAAATCCTCTTTTAACTTGAAATACCCAAAATTATCTTACATATTCTAGTTTCCACATGTCATATCATACAACAGGAAATAAGACTCATGGCCTTGCAAAAACAGAAATTAGCACCTCACTTCAGTTTAAAAAAAAGTATTAAAACATAACTATATTATTGTCATCATGGCAAATTACCAGGAAAAAGATTTGAAAAATTAGGAACAGAATACTGGATTTAATTTCTGTTTTAACAGAAACAGAAATGGTAAAATCTGGAAATCTCTATTCAAGGCAAAGGGTCATGAGCCTTCTTTTCATAGTGGCAGTGGTCCTGAGTGAGAACCAATGTCCCAAATATTGCCCAAAACCAAAATACACAGCATGACTTTACATCAGCCAGACACATTCAACACACTGAAGAACATCACCACGCCTCATACTCCTCCTTGCCCTTCCTCTTTACACTACGAAAAAAAAGAAAAAAGGAAAAATATGTGGCTTGACAGTGGAAAAGAACCTGAAAACTTGCATGATCTTTGAATTCTTTGAGAAACAGTTTGTGTTTAAAGTACAATGAAATTTAAAGTTAATAATTTGAAGACAGTATTCCAAAATACAAAGATCCTCACAAGAGTTGGATGTTGGAACAGGACTACAGGGCCTAGTATCAGAATACATATGAGGATTTCACGTTCCATGCCACAAAAAGCACCACTTCCTGGCTGAATACACAGGATATACCATGAAAATACTTCTATTTCCTGACAACTTTCAGAAAACTCACACCTCAGAACTGGAAGAAAGACTTTTGGAAGGATGAAAACAGAGGAGAATAGTACTGTTGTTTATAACGTGTTGTATGTACTATCAACGACTGAAAATTTAATTCCTACTGACTATAGCTAACACCTTGATTATTTTCTTCCATATGGCATCATACCCTGGTCTTTAAGAACTGTCTTTAAACTAATCTACTAGAAGTTGTGTGTGTATTTGTTTCTCAGGACTGAGATTTCCTACACACAGAAAGCCTTAGCCAATGTACCTAAAGAAAAATGACTGAAGTCTGCTGTATTAGAGGATGGAATTTTTTCCATTTTTAGCAAATGTCAAATCATTGGCTATTGCTTTTAAGATTAATAAAAGATATAATGGTTTTTAGATCGCCTCTAAATAAAGATTACTATGAATGGAGAAATGATTTACCAATAGTCACCACAATGAGATTTCTTTAAAGGTTACAATCATCAGTTATTTAGCTGAAACACTGCTGAGAATGCCTGGTCACTTCTTGAATAATGCATAATGTTCATTGCAGTTTTGATCTGTATTATAACAATACAGATATTTCTAAAATAATGGAGAAAACTATGTTACTTTCCAACTGCTCAGGATATTTCCATGAAGTAATTGACTTTGAAAATATTATATGGACTTACCTGAGCACTCATTTGCAAGCACAACTTGTAGAGATCACTACACAATAGGCATAAGAAAACAAACTCATCAGCCTTTACAGACTTCTAAGAAAACCTGTGATAAATACAGGGCATAGTAAAGGACCTTCCTGAAATACTAAATTAAAATTATTAAATTTCTGTACAGTGCTGGGGGACAAATTTAAAACTAAGCTTTTAAAATGAATGATTAACACAAGCAGGCCAACACATTTGGGGAAGAAAAAAATAGCATTTGCCTACACGATGTAAGTACTTCTCAAATAATTTCCCAAATACCTTTAAGTCTATTCAGAAGATTGCTTGTGCACATACAAAGTATAATGTCTAGTGTTTTATTGTAGGTTTATCATCCATACTTCACATGAACCTGCAAGCTATTTATGTGAGCTTGTTTATACATATGAACTTCTTCAAGGGTAGCAAAAAGCAACCTTAATAAATGAAACTGAATTTCTTTTGATGTAATTTCATGAATGTTTGATCAGAATGTGTTAACAGGTTTCTATGTAAGGCGTAGTCATAAAATATACCTCTGCTATACAGTTAAACCTGCTTATGGGGAATTCTTATGCAATGAAATACTCTTTCATCAAGCATTGCTTCAATGTACAGACTCATAAATAATACAGTCCTACTTAGAATTAAGCTAAGCACCCAAACACGAGGAACAAAAAAGTCAAAACCCCTTCCTGAGCCCCCATACCCTTGCACCTAAAGGAATGAGAACCATTGCACTAGATGGCTGGAGGGGCTGGGTTGTTATATCAGATAGGGTGAAGAGACATCAAATTCTCTTTTAGGGGCAAGCATTAATCTAGATAAAACTGTTGATGCTGTTATCTAAGAATAAGATTTTGTTCTTCCTTAAAATTCTTTTCTTCATTAGAATCTTTGCACAAAAAAGGAAGATTAAGTATTCAGGTATATATTCCAGAAGAGGATAATGAAAAATAGATCCCAGATACTCTGAAAATATACACAGAGATCAGCAGAGCTCAGACTTACAGTAACACAGGACAGCTTGTAAAAGCAAAGACAGATCATAGATTGTACTTTACATCTACCTTGAAATACTGTTTAATTGCCTGAGAAAAAACTCTCATCCTGTAAAAATGGGGAACATTTGCATATTATATCAGAAGCCTAATGAACCACGTTACACTCATGCCCTGGGTGATGTAATTATTGCCTTTATTTTTTCTCCATGAGAATTATATATGATTTGGCAGATAACATAAAATAAATATAGGAAATGCTAGAACTAGGTCCAGCTACTAAATTCTCAACCTGAAACTGCATCGTTTTTTGCCCTCCATGCCTCTCTCCATCCATTAAGAATTTAAACTTTCCTTAAATAATATCACTTCCTTTAAATGGAAGAGCAGGTAAAAGCCCTTTGCACCATCAATACAAGTAACCCTTCATGGACAGCTGTGGGCTGATAAATAAGATTCTATTTCTACCTCCTCCCTCTACCCCTAAAGGTGGCTTCTTTGTTTGCCTCAAGCTATACACATTCTATCTAGTTTAGTTTAGATTAAGAGTTTATCGTTCATAATTTGTGGAAAAAACCTGAAGTGCTCAAATCTCATAAATCTCATATGACTCTTCCAAATACATGTTTCCTCCAAAATGTGAGAGCAGTAGCTAAAATAAAGGAGTATTCTGTGCTGTCAAAGCCAAGACACCCAGAAATCCCAGGTTTGGTAACCCTGATTTCTGTTACTGCAACTTACACCCTAATTTAAAATACTTACAAAACAGAGATCACAGTGATCCAGATGGGTAACATTAGTTGAAAAAATAATAGCTTACCAAAAAAAAGTTCACTTTATACAGGTCATTGGAAAGACTATTTAGGAGAAACATGCATACAGCCTCTAGTTTGTAGCAATTCACATCTAAAACATTGCTTTTGCTCCCCAATGGCTTATTTGAGCATTAAAAGAGAGCATTTAATTCTGAAAACAGTCTATTTCGTTAATAAATGCCTACTGGCTCAGAAGTCAAAATAATTTCTATGGACATTACAAGAAGAAAAATAATATCCTAGTCTCTCAGTTGAAGATTTAAATATCTGGACATGATGCTTTCAAACTTCAGAAAATTAAGAGATTGAGTTTGCAAATCAAGGAATAATGTCATTTTCCTCTCAAGCGTATACTTATATAAAATACTAAAACAAAAGCAACAGAGTAACAGGTAAACAACTTGAAGCATTTAGTCCACATCACCCAGAAGACTTACAGCTCTTACATCATAGGTTCGTCGTTAAATAAAAAAAAAATTAAAATAAGAGGTTTATTTCACCTTCACATGGTGTCTTTCTCATGCAGACCTCAGATTTCCACATTTGAATCCCTTTAAAGGATTTGATATGCAGGGAAAGAAGAAAGGATGAAGGTAAAAATTTCAATTTAGAGGTTACTAAAGGCTGCCATATTCTATAGTACACAACAATATTTACTCCATACCTTTCACTGATGTATTTGGTGGAGGTCCTTCCATCCTCAAGTTCCATGGAGGATCACCTTGATTAGCGAAGTCCCTCATTTTCAGATAGCTAATTGTAAGTCGGATAATGGATGCCTTGTCAAGCTGGCTGGTAATGGCTGCAGGCAATGGCAACAACTTTGCCAACTCATAGAATTCAAAATTCTCCTTTCCTCGGCGAGAACGAGCAGCATCTCGGGACTTTTCCTTCCTCAAAGCTTGTAAACTGAAAGAAAATAAAGTAGGACATTCATCAATATTAGTACTCTGTCATATTTAGCCAATTTACTTTTTCACTGCTGGTCTTCTCTTCAAATTACCACATTTTCAAAATGCTGTTGTACATGGATCTACTGAGTTCAGGATATATAAAATGGTACTCCACGCTTGAATGATTAAAACTAACAATAATATTTGAGTTTCAGTGGTAGCCAACATATTATGTAACTACTCAACTCACTTTAGCCACTTCCTTTTTAGCCCTCCTTTCCTTTGTCTGCTGTCAGTCTCAAGAAAAATATCCCAAGACTACTGTGTACATATGAGGTTTATTTGTCTAGGTGCCACTGCTTCTCCTGACTCACTGTAAGCCAATTTTGCCTTAATTTTTGTCAAATTCTGACTCTTGGAAGTGTCAAATTCTGACTCTTGGGAGAAGGTTAAAAGCAGATGATTCCAAGTGTTTGTCACATCTGACAAGGGCTGCAGTGCAGCCAAGATAACTAAACAGGTTGTACACTAACTGCTGAGACACAGAAGCTTATGTCTGGTGTAATAATGCAAAACTTCCTGTATTTCATGAAGCTGTTCTTTAGGAGCTGTTCAACTGTCTTTGCAGTGGAAGCAGTAACCTTTGTCAGTGGGGTGAGAAAGCTGTTAATACAGTTATGTGATTCACATTTCTGATTGGAATTCACTACCACATACATGGCACACTGACAACTTTTTGATCAGAAAGGACCTTCTGCTTTACACTGAGATGCTGGAAATGCAAAGACATTCATTTAGTCCTATTGCATCAATGTATCATTTGCTACCACCAATACAGAACACACAAAGATAACTCAGATTTTACTCCTGCTCTATTTGTTTATTTGGTGCAAAACTCCTGAATGCAGTGGGATGACAGTGGTTAACACTTGGGAGCGTTTTTTCTTTTCTTTTATTTATAGAGAGCAGTGTTCAACTTAGGATATTATAACCTTCACAATACATCTGCCTTGATGGATACAGGTTGGTGCTGATGCCGAGGCTCAGCATCATGAAGCTAAGAGCTCTATTTACCTGTTTTTCTAATTTGGGAATAAACTACAGAGTTTCTCTTTTTTTAAAAACAATATGAATAGTATGGTTAACATGTTACATTCTCTACCCAATTCTATACAAATAGCAGTTTTATTTAAAAAGACAATCTGGCTCTGAAACAGGAATGGTGAGATAAAGATACAGGAGGAACCAGCACATCCTTACCCACAGGTAAAGATACAGAATCCTACTAAATTATAAAGTACATACTTGGTTTTATAAACTCTATATGGAAAGCTAGTATGTTGATTCGTAAATTATATTCTAGGGTAAAAGTACCTGAAAAATAAGATTTCACAATGGTCATTCTAGATGCATCTCTCTCAAATTTCAAATTTTAGATACCTACCATCAAGGATGTGGAAAATCCCTCAAAAGGTGCATTAAATATAACAGATAAAAGTACTTGATGTATACACAGGCATATGGAAGCTACAACTCTGTGAGGTATGAACTGTCCAATGAATTCCAAGGAAGTAATATGCCCTCTACAAGTTAAATATATACAACAGCAACGTGAGGAATTGTGCAGGCAAATGTCTCTGCACAATTGCTTCCAAGTGAAAGATCAATTTCATGGCAAAAGACATGGCCTTTTCTGCCTGTCACCACCTTTTTTTTTCCTAGAAGCCAAGCCTGAGAATTCAAGTCCCCAAATCAAGTTAGCAGAAGAATTGAGATTATAGATCTGTTTTGAATGCCTGCACTGAGGTTCACACCTTCTTTCCAAAGCACTTAATTATACACCTACATAAGATGGAAGATTTTTAAAGATCCCTAGTAAAAAAAAAATCAAAAAAATTACAGAGCTCAGCAACTTCTGAAACTGAAAAATGTTAGAAATTGAATAGTGATAGAATATTCCTTAGAAACACCAAAGTCTAAATCCACAGTTTACAAGTCCTGTAGAGGCTTCAGGAGATTGCTGAAACTGAATAATATACTGGAATGTAAACTTATGTAAAACATTACTGGATCAGTAACAGTTTGCAATGGAAGTCAGTTAAGCTAAAAAGTGAGGCAACCTGTGGCAGCAAACAGAATAATTTAAAAGCCCTCGATGGTTATTCAAACAAAACTCTTGTATGGTTGTACAACAAAAAAAGTAGACGGGATGGGGAGCAGACATGATAAATAAAAGAAACTCTTGAGAAACAGTATTGAGAATAACTCACTTTTTCTCCCAACTATTTGTTATATTGCCATTTGTGGAAGCTTCATGGGGTGAATCAAGTCAAGGAATTTGTAACTTAGAGCACTCTTCTCTTGGCATCAGTGCCATTAAGCTAAATTAAGAAAGAGTGTCTGCTGATATGTGCACACAAGTCCTAATTTCTACTCTGTATAATTCCACTAGGGAAATACAGTGTACTGTTGGACACTGCAGTTATGCTGATAAAATGGGTCCTTAATTTGGGAGCAGTGATTTCCTCAGCAGGATGCAAGAATTCATTAGATATTACCTAAACATGGCTGTTAATCTTCCCTGGCACCTGTGATTCTGATAGGCAACATCAGCTTCACTGTCAGATGCTCTTAATAAAGCAAAGTACTGGCACTAATAATCCCAAGAGGATGCTAGAAAAGAGGAGTGTGAAGTTCCCAACAAAAGGCAGTGATGCTGACACAGGGCCAAAATTAATCCTGATTCCTCTCACATGATACCTGGGACTAGAGGTAGTTCTTGGAACATAAATGCCTGTTAAGTATCAGGCTGCAAAAACCTCGAAATGCACACACTTTTCTGCTAAAAAGAAAAATAAAAGTGTGAGAAACTATACACGTGTTTACCAAGTGGCTCTCAAAAATGGTCAGAAAGCACCAAGAAAGCAACATCACATGTTTAAGAGCTCTCAAATGACAGAGAAGATCCTCAGCAGTCAAGCAAATCTACATATAATATCCACAGTACCAACAAGAGAGTAAGAGTGGGAAATATACCCAAGGGAAAATATTGCTCCCTCTTTGCCTCCTGTGGAGAAGGGGTAGGAGCTAAGACAATTGGATCAGGGTGCATCACTGTACAGTGTAAAAGGATGATGTTGTCATACAATAGTGAAATTTCATGCATTCCCTTAGGAAGACATTTCTCATAGAATTTCCATATAGAGAGTCCACAAAAGAAGACTAAGAGGTTTCCAGCTGCTAGCTCCTGATAATTCTTAGAAGCAGTACCCTATAAACAGGAGATTTAATGGCTTGAAGACTAATACTATTTTAGATATGGTTTCTAAAATATATTTTATTTTTCCTTTTAGGGCCTTTCCAGATGGACTGATATAAAGGGGGTCTGGCTTTTACAGATGAAAGGATACAATAAATACTACCATATAATTCTAAAATGGTATACATGACATTTCTAAAGTAGATTTTCTATTGAAGACACAGCAGATGCAGAAGACATGATAATATGGTGTTGCATAAAAGTTTTATTGGTACTCATAACTCACTTGTGATTTCATTGTGCTTGTGGTCATTCCAAGCTTAACCTGCTCCATATTTTATTTCACATAATATTATATACTTTAGATTCATAAGCATATACATCCATCCATATCTGTGTGCACACTCACAACATCTTCATGTCTGACCAATTGACATCTGCCACTTTAAAGCTGGGACAATCACAGATCCTAATTTTTGCAGCATTTAGTGGCAATCAAACATGTTATAGCATATCAACAGAAACACTGACCTAGATAAGGGTTTTTTAGCATATGTTCACAGAATATTCTGAGCAGGAAGTGACCCACAAGGATCATCAAGTCCAACACTTAAAAGAATGGCCTAGCAGGAGGTGAAGTCCATGATGTTGGTGTTATTAGCACCATGCTCTAACCAACTGAGCTAATCTCAGGGTCATAAGAATACCTTGCTTCTGTGTCTCAGTTTGGGCAGGAAAAATCAGTGAAATAATTTAATTATGTGAATTTGCATTTTGAATGAAAACAGGGAAATGAATGGTTACAGTTACAAATAATATTTGCTTGCAATTTCAAAGTACAGTTTTGAAAGAGGTCCTCACAGATTTGGCCAGTTTTAGGAAGGTAGCTCACATTTAAATTTCACCTACACTGTTCCCTTAAACTTGATGCAGGCGAGACCCCCCAAGCAGAGCTTCTCAGAATATCAGTGTCCCTCTGCTCTGCCCCACATAACAGCACTGCTGGGATTTATGGTACCTTCATTGGACTTGTCACAAATAGAGATTGGATTGGAAGCAACGGCCATAAAACAAGGTTTGAGGGACAGATGGACTGCTGAACTCGAGATATAGTGGCTTGAGCCAATGACAGCTTATCTGTGTTGTGCTATCATAGTTATTGCTCATTTCCATTCACAAGCACATTTCCATTCACTTTCCTGCTTCAAAAGCAGAGAAGTGTAGCAAACTCTCACGAAGGATGCACAGTATTTTTAAGAATAGCATAGAAATCCTCCCCAATTTCAGTAGAAATTTTAGAAATGCAAAAGTATACCAGAATAGAGCACTTTTTCTTATATTACTAAACATTTTCGTACTTGTTAACCCAGCTGTTACAGAGCACTAGTGAATTTCTTAAGATCCTAACAACAATATGGATTAGTTGCAGCAACTCCAGTTATAGTATAAAAATAATGTTTAATATCTAATAATGTTTATAACAGACTTAATAGAGAATAAAGCAATGTCTCTGTGTGTATTTTTCTATTAGTCTAGTCATTTAAAATCAAGGATTGAAAAATCCATTATAAACAGTATCCAACTCTCGAAAGGACAGTCAGATGAATGCTATAACCATTTCACAGAAAACAAATCAGATATAAGGAAAGGTTATGCAACATTAGAGTACACAATGAATCTGCTACAAAAAAACTCGGAGATAAGTGATCCAACCCCTTTAGCCCTCTGAAAGAGACTTTAAATTATGTCTGTCCCTT